CAGATGTGAGCTTCAAGGTTAAGGGGGAAATCACTCAAGGAAAGTAAAACCAAAAGTGGAAAGACCAGAGGTTGTCATGTGTCTAACTAGGAAGGAGTAGTGAAACATTAAACACTCACTGAGAAATGTACAGAGATTTTGAAGTTACCAGCACGCCAGATTTACCTCTTCTGGAGAGACCCCATTAAGTTACAGAGTGTAGTAAGGCTTCAAACTCTTAATTTATTAAATTAGGTGTGTTGGAAGCATCACACTATATCTGAATAAAGGCAGACAGATGGTTAACAGACCGATTTTTAAATGGTCCTAGAAATATTTGTACATCTTTTCAGAGCAGGATATCCCACGAGAGCTGGTCCTGGCAGCTCCACCATGCCATGAGTGCAACAGGTAAAGTAATGTCAGCAGCCACAAGCTACTCAGGCAGCAACAGCAAGGCTGAGGGCATGCTGAGGACTTGTGACAATTATATGGTTCCTTCAAACTTCATTTTTCAAAACAGCTTTCATAAATAGTATCGTTAATCACTTCCAGTTTTGAGCTGTTGTTGGTATGTTGTTGTTCCATGTTTTGAGTAGGGGGGGAAATTATTTTTTTTCAGTGGGAAACTATAGAACAAACCAAACATTGTTGGTTCTTTTCCAAACTGCACTTTTCCTTCCATTATAATTTTGTAGCTAAATACACTGACTTGCTGAAAAGAGTTAGATCTTCCTATCTCTTCCTGTCTTAAAAAGTGACTGAGAAAATTCCAAGGAAAATGAAACCCAAGCCAAAGTCTGTTGCCATCTTCAAGTTAATTTATATAGGGCACAAATCCTCCTGAATCAGATTAACACAAAAACATTCCCCATCTTTGGCCTGTTAATTGGGTTCAACTTGTCCTACTACTGAAAGAAGCCAATTTGATTTTTAAACCAACAAGAAAAACAGAAAAGCATAGGTGTGTTAGAGGTTCTAACACAGCAAACATTCTATCTATGCAAACTGTAGATAATATTTCTTCTGAAGTCATAAACTTTGGCTCATGGTCTGACTGCCTCTGCACAATGTCCCAAAGTAGATGGTGCTAATGCTATTTTAGTCCACACTTTGGCACTGATCCTGCCATACTCACAGCACATGGATGACAACACAGTGAAGCCCTGTGTGTCTGCACTCTGCATGTGGCACTTCCCAAAAAAGGCAGAAGAGCTTTAATCCCAACACTGACCAAGTAGTTC